ATATATAATTTTTTTCTTCTTCTTCTTTCGGCTTATCCCTTCTTCAGAGGTCGCCACAGCGACCTAAGTCACACGAAGTCTTGGCAATTTTTTTTACACCAGATGTCCTTCATGATGCAACCACAGACCGTCGAGCTATCACAGTCCTCTGTGTGGAGCAGAGAGCTGCTATCTGGGGCGCCTGGGGGAGCAGATGAGGCGGGTTAAGGGCCTTGCTTAAAGGCCCATAGTGTGGCAAATGAGGGTGAAGGCAGGTGTGGGTGCTTCACCTTTCCCATCCACATTAGTTTGACTTTCGTAGACTCACTCTTTTGCGGTTTTTCAACGTTAGATTGTACACGGCACACGACTGTCAACTTTAATGATGTGATTGGGACTGCACAGGATAAAAAGTTAATGGAAGTAGATGGGAGCAGGAACCAACTGGACAAAAAAACAAAAGCAAAACAAACAAAAATATACTTCGGACAGGTGCCGTGATTTTGTAGTTTTTTTTTCTTAAATCATACACTGTAACGCAAGTCAAAAGAACTACACGACCCAGAAGCCAGCAGTGCTTCCGGCTGCTGCTTTCTGTCAAAATGGCATCAATTGAGGGAGCAAAGAACATGCAGAGAGTGGCAGGGTTCGGCCTGGTTCTGTTCTCCGTGGTGCTGGTCCGGACCCGGGCCGAGATGGTGGACGACATCCTGGGCAGCCTTGCACATGGAGTGTCCTTCCTGCCACGGCAGCGGTGGTCTTGTCATTCTGCAGTGTAGGGTTGCCAAACTGGACAGTATATACATACCTGTATATTGCTACTTCAAATGCTTTTATCCTCATATTCCACAGAGTGTGTTCGATTATGATCTGGTGGCCACTTTGTTTATTTTGGCAAGTTTATACACCCAACAAAAAAAAGTTTTTGTAACTAACATCTATGTGCTTAACTTTCACTGGACCCTTAGGCTCCAGAAATAAAACAATTACAGACCATCAAAACTATTTAGGCATTATTTCATCCTAATTGCCACAGAACAGCAGTCCATCAAAGACTAACAGGTGTGATAAAGCTTCATTTAATTCTCTTCATTCTTCATGGTTTTGTTTAAAACTGCATGAAGCATAAAGTAACCACAAGTTGAACACAGTCTCACGAACAACAGAACTTTTACTGCCTCTTTTAAAGCGAGCACTTGTGTCTTCATTTGTCTTCACTTTATTGCAATTCCATGACCAAAATACTCATGGGCTTTGAGCAGACACTGAGATGATTAAAACGTGGAAAAAGTTCAGTCACCCTGAAAGCCTTCACAATATCGTCTAATTATTCTTCACATGAGAGCTATGGCATTACAAGTCAAAAGCAATTCCAAGAATTCCAAAAGGTTGGTGTTAAGATTTGAGTTTAGAAAATGTTCCAATGCTTTTATGATGACCTTAAGTATTTAGTGAAGGGCTCATTAATTCAACGTGTGCAGTAGAAATACTGAACACACTCTTGTGAGTACTTTTCTTGGTCTTGTGCCTTATTGCATCACTTAGAACAAGGCTGCAATCTGAAATCAGAAGAATAGACCAAATGAAAGAGGCTCTTAATTCAGAAAATTTTCGTATACATTTATTTTTTTTTGAAAAACAAAACATGCAATTTGGTACCACTGATTCTGAATATTTAAACTGGAATGAATGTGAATGCACATGCGCAAAGTGTTAACTATAAAAATGATATTTAGCTTATATTGTAGATTTATGTCATTTTACAAATTTATGAAACAAATAAATATTCCACTGAAGAAGTAAATAACTGAGCAATCAAAATGGAAAGTTTTGACCTATGTTAAGAGCGTCTCTCTTACTCTCATGCAGGTTCGTTGGCCGGAGGAATAATAGGGACGACTTCACACTTTTTATAACACTTTATTTAAACAGGAAAGATATGTTAACAGGATACAAACAGATCTGGAGAATTGATGAAAAAGGGCAGCGAACCCCAAAATGCAAATCAATTCTGAAAATACCATGAAGATGCTGTGGTTTCAAGGTGACAGTCAGCTCCACCTCCTGGGAGACCCTCCTTCGACCTTTTTCACCATCCAACACAAGTTATTTTCCCAGGAGCTAAACAGAAGACCTTTGTAAATCTATGAGTTTTATGGTGTTATCACACAGGATAAGGTGTTATCAGAGAGCTGCTGCACATCTGCTGCTTCCTCCTGCTGCATTCCTTCAGCTTTTACAAAACACAGCCTCTGCGTTTAAGCAGGCCCTCATTTTTTTATGCTGCAACCATTTGTCACTACTACTCTATGTAAAATACATATTAACTGATCAGAATTACTCATAGCAGTTGATTAGTACAGTTTAAACCTCCAACAACTAAAACATGTAGGAGACGTTTCTGGAAACGCTCACTTCCATTCAGACGTCATGTTTTCTAGTGAAAAATTGCTTGTTTCAGCAAAACAACGCCAACCATGTTCTGCATGGATTGCAATGAAATACATTTTAACATGCAAACATGAAAAACAAAACAACTGTCAATCACTGATTTGTGATTTTATATACATTTTGTTCTCCAGCTATTTTAGGATCCGAGTGGCATTAAAACCTGAAACGTAAATAAACCCTTGCTTTAAGAGTGTTTATTCCAATGTTCATTTTATTACCACACATATTTTATGGTGTGAATGTTTTTGAAGTTACTCTAAAGCTGCTGTGCTACTTTTTTCAGACTGTTTGAAAAAAAAAAAAGAGTGTTGGGGGTTTGGTGCACATGTGACAAAAAACACATGGAAGCAGGATGGTGCAGCAGAGATGTATCATCATGCAAAAAAAAAAAAAAGTTTCACTGTGAATGAAGACTTCTGATGTCACTGCAAAACCAAAAACAAACAACAAGATGATGTTAATTTAATTCATTTAATGCAGAGCAGTATTTCGACAATATTTAATTTATCAGTAATTTTAAAATCTGGGTAGCACAGTGGCACATTTGGTAGAGCCTCTCAGTGAGAAGGTCACAGGATCAAATCCTGGTCTTTGGAGCCATTCTGGATGGAGTTTGCATGTTCTCTCCATGCACGCTTGGGTTTTCTCCATGTACTCCGGTTTCCTTCCACAGACCAAAAACATGCATGTTAGGCTGACTGGTAACTCTAAATTGTCATCAAGTGTTAGTGAGAGAGAGAATGGTTGTTTGTCTCATTTGTCTCTATGTGGCCCTGTGATGGACTGGAGACCTGTTCATGTTGTACCCCACCTCTCACAGTGTGACTGCTGGATATGGGCACCAGTGACCCCAGTGACCTGAAAAGGAAGAAGCAGGTAAAGATAATGGATGGACAGCTAGTTTTAAATCTAGTGGAGTCGTTTGTATTATTAGTCATTTTACAGGAACTCAACTGAAGCAGTGTGTGTTGTTGTACTCAACAGCAGAACATTTCACACAACCACAAACATTTACATTGAACTCCTAACATGTTACAAACCTGACCGTTCTTCAGTCCGTTATTCAATTATGAATCAATTCAAGGTGACTAATATGTATATGTATGTTTGGGATGATGCTTGCTGAACCTCAAATTGTATGGTACGCAAATCCATTTATTTACTTTACATCATTAAAATGTGCTGACATTCAACATAATATAACCATTCACTTATGTCTTTTGTAATTATACACTAGTCCCTTGCTTATTGCGGTGGATCCATACCCTGAAGACCCACGATAAGTGAAAAACCACGAAGTAGGAATAGTAGTACAAGTTGTAGTTTGTTTTAGTATATATATATATATATATATATATATATATATATATATATATATATTGCACTTTAAACCCTCCCCACACTCCTGCAGTATTCTAAACAATGTTTCTAAACTCTAAATGCTATAAAAGAGCACAGCAGGTCATGATTTCAGCTCTCTGCCTCAGGCTGCTCTCTGCCACCTGCCAGAGCTCTTGGCCACGCCCACTTCACTGCAGAGCGGATATCTGAGGAAGCATCTCCTGCAGCTTGGGCTGCACACTCGTGCATACGGAAGCTTTTTGTTCAGCTGTGGGCTGCAGACAGGTGCTAAATAGTTTAAAGTAATTTATTTAAAATAAAAATTCCATGCCATTCGTGTGGCTCATCCATCA